TCTCTCTCCCATCTCTCTCTCTCCCATCTCTCTCCCATCTCTCTCTCCCATCTCTCTCTCCCCCATCTCTCTCTCCCCCTCTCTCTCTCCCCCTCTCTCTCCCCATCTCTCTCTCTCTCCCATCTCTCTCCCATCTCTCTCTCTCCCCCATCTCTCTCTCTCCCTCTCTCTCTCCCATCTCTCTCTCCCATCTCTCTCTCCCCATCTCTCTCTCCCATCTCTCTCTCCCCATCTCTCTCTCCCCCATCTCTCTCTCCCCATCTCTCTCTCTCCCATCTCTCTCCCATCTCTCTCTCCCATCTCTCTCTCCCCATCTCTCTCTCTCCCATCTCTCTCTCATCTCTCTCTCCCATCTCTCTCTCCCCATCTCTCTCTCTCCCATCTCTCTCCCATCTCTCCCCCATCTCTCTCTCCCCATCTCTCTCTCCCATCTCTCTCTCATCTCTCTCTCCCATCTCTCTCTCCCCCATCTCTCTCTCCCCATCTCTCTCCCCCATCTCTCTCTCCCCCATCTCTCTCTCCCCATCTCTCCCCCATCTCTCTCTCCCATCTCTCTCTCCCCATCTCTCTCCCCAATCTCTCTCTCCCATCTCTCTCCCCCATCTCTCTCTCCCCATCTCTCTCTCCCATCTCTCTCTCCCATCTCTCTCTCCCATCTCTCTCCCCCATCTCTCTCCCCCATCTCTCTCTCCCATCTCTCCCCATCTCTCTCTCCCCATCTCTCTCCCCCATCTCTCTCTCCCATCTCTCTCTCCCCATCTCTCCCCCATCTCTCTCCCCCATCTCTCTCTCCCCATCTCTCTCCCCCATCTCTCTCTCCCATCTCTCTCTCCCATCTCTCCCCCATCTCTCTCTCCCCATCTCTCTCCCCCATCTCTCTCTCCCATCTCTCTCTCCCCATCTCTCCCCCATCTCTCTCCCCCATCTCTCTCTCCCCATCTCTCTCTCCCATCTCTCTCTCCCATCTCTCTCTCCCCATCTCTCCCCCATCTCTCTCCCCCATCTCTCTCTCCCATCTCTCTCCCCCATCTCTCTCTCCCCATCTCTCTCCCCCATCTCTCTCTCCCATCTCTCTCTCTCCCCATCTCTCCCCATCTCTCTCTCTCCCATCTCTCTCTCATCTCTCTCTCCCATCTCTCTCTCCCCATCTCTCTCTCTCCCATCTCTCTCCCATCTCTCTCCCATCTCTCTCTCCCCATCTCTCTCTCCCATCTCTCTCCCCATCTCTCTCTCCCATCTCTCTCTCCCCCATCTCTCTCTCCCCATCTCTCTCCCCCATCTCTCTCTCTCCCCATCTCTCTCTCCCATCTCTCTCTCCCCATCTATCTCTCCCCATCTCTCTCTCTCCCCATCTCTCTCTCCCCATCTATCTCTCCCCATCTCTCTCTCCCATCTCTCTCTCATTTCTCTCTCTCCCATCTCTCTCTCCCCATCTCTCTCCCCCATCTCTCTCTCCCCATCTCTCTCCCCCATCTCTCTCTCCCATCTCTCTCTCCCCATCTCTCCCCCATCTCTCTCCCCCATCTCTCTCTCCCCATCTCTCTCCCCCATCTCTCTCTCCCATCTCTCTCTCCCCATCTCTCCCCCATCTCTCTCCCCCATCTCTCTCTCCCATCTCTCTCCCCCATCTCTCTCTCCCCATCTCTCTCCCCATCTCTCTCTCCCATCTCTCTCTCTCCCCATCTCTCCCCCATCTCTCTCCCCATCTCTCTCTCCCATCTCTCTCCCCCATCTCTCTCCCCCATCTCTCTCCCCCATCTCTCTCTCCCCATCTCTCCCCCATCTCTCTCCCCCATCTCTCCCCATCTCTCCCCCATCTCTCTCCCCATCTCTCTCTCCCCATCTCTCCCCCATCTCTCTCCCCCATCTCTCCCCATCTCTCCCCATCTCTCTCCCCATCTCTCTCCCCATCTCTCCCCATCTCTCTCTCATCTCTCTCTCTCCCATCTCTCTCCCCATCTCTCTCTCATCTCTCTCTCTCCCCATCTCTCTCTCCCATCTCTCTCTCATCTCTCTCTCCCATCTCTCTCCCCATCTCTCTCTCTCATCTCTCTCTCTCCCCATCTCTCTCTCTCTCTCATCTCTCTCTCCCCCATCTTTCTCCCATCTCTCTCTCCCCCATCTTTCTCTCCCCATCTCTCTCTCTCTCCGCATCTCTCTGTCTCTCTCTCTTCCATCTCTCTCTCTCTCCTCATCTCTCTCTCTCTCTTTTGAGCGACACTGCATTCACCATGCTCGCTAGTGCCATACAACACCCTGGGCTGGAGCTTGTGTGTGTACATGTTTAAAAAAGGAAGCCATCGATCAATATCCAAAGGCTGGATGATATAAAGTAACACGAGGTCTAACTACGTCACAATAGAATTTTCTTTCTCTACATAACACCAGTGTTACAACTATCAGTTAGGACTCATATGAAGCAAACAACCATGAGGCTAAAAATAGAACGACAATGTAAGCCTTGATTCTTAGACAATTTAATTAAAATCAGATATTTTAGTTTGATAATATTCTTCTGTGCGAGAAGATGTGAGGACATTTCAATCTGTCATACTCAGACTAACAGCGTCCAAACTCTCGGTACGAGTGAGCGAAGCATTCAAACTAGCTGATCTAACTTTTGTATCTCGAAAACTTATTTAATCAAAGAATTCCGAATGCAAAAGCATTAAGCCGCGCTGTCACATTGTATTTATTTTTATGAATCCTGTCGTTTCTGAGCGCCACGGCAGCTACACCTACTGGAGTAAACTATCAAAGGTATATATTGTGTTTTGTGTCGGTTTCGAAAGTTCCGAAACGAGGTTGTAAAGAAATATGGCCGAACCATTTCATATAGTTCCATCTATTTGCTTTAAGAACTCACGCTGCTTTCCTGTAGATTGGGAAGTCAAAGTTCGTTCCATGACCATAATAATTTACAAAATCCAATGTGTTAAATTGACAAAAAAGATATTGTAAGAGTCGTGAGAGCGTCACGAACGTGTCAATATAGATAAATTAAAAACGGATTCACGGACTGATATTCTTTCTTGGGATACATCATTCGGGAAACTACAATGGCTTCATGAGCTTCATGACAAGACTGGAATATGGTTGGCTGTCATAAGTGAAAACAAATTTCATTAAGAACGGATCTAAACGGAATTTTAACATAAATGCGAGTATTGTACATACGACCTCTGTGAACTAGAGGCTGAAGTGGTCATCTGAAACACGTTCGGCCATTTCCCGTTATAACGAGTGAGTGAGTGAGTATGGTTTTACGCCGCTTTTAGCAATATTCCAGCACGGCGGGGGACACCAGAAATGGGCTTCACACATTGTACTCATATTGGGAATCGAACCCGGGTCTTCTGCGTGACGAGCCATGTTCATGTTCGTGGAGCGATGTTCATGATATCAATCATTTGTAAGTCTGGTCCTGACTCGAAACTTTACAGGCCGCCGTCATATAGCTGGAATATTGCCGAGCGCGGCGTTAAACAACAAACAAACAAACAAACAAACAAACAAAGAAGGACATATTACCTTCCCTGACGGGTATCTCGGAACAGATTTCCGCTACCCATGTCGTAAGAACGACCAGGATGGTTTTGAGTCATCGTTGAATGGAGATCGTTGTTCATTTTGTCAACCACTAGTTTATCTACTTTGAGTATTTAGAGTCTTGGTTGGTTGGTTGGTTTGTTGTTTAACACCGCACTCAGCAATATTCCAGCTATATGAAGGCGGTCTGTAAATAATCGAGTCTGGACCAGACAATCCAGTGATTGATATCATGAGCATCGATCCACGCAATTGGGATCGATGACATGTATCAACCAAGTCAGCGAACCTGACCACCCGATCCCGTTAGTCGCCTTTTACGACAAGCATAGTCACCTTTTACGGCAAGTATGGGTTGCTGAAGACCTATTCTACCCCGGAATCTTCACGGGTCATTTACAGTCTTGAAATAGGTGGTATATTACTATGGATTCACTTACCTGCCATAATTTGAGATATTAAAACGAAGGGATTAGGTCACAGCAAGAAAAAAAAGGCCTCGGAGAAGCCGCCTTGGTAACTGCACTTGATGCGTCCTGAAGTTTGTGTTATATTAGATTGGACTTTATCAGACTATATAATATGTAAAAAGCGCCACATGATCTTAGCATTTGTGGGTCTTGAAATGAAATACAGTTAACTACGGTTATAACGAACTGACGGATATAACGAACTTACTTTTTAGTCCCGACTATTTGCTGTAGTTATGCTGTATATATGCTTATAACGAACTACGGTTATAACGAACTAAAATAGTAGTCACTTTGAGTTCGTTATAACCGTAGTTTACTGTGCAATATTATTGAATCAGTTTTAGTCATGAAGAGGGCTCTCTGCAATCAGCAAATATCAATAAAAAATAGGTTCCTCGAAGTTTTAGTTGAAACAGAGACTGGATTCAGTCTAGATTCATCTCTTGATGATACATTCGTTAATATTTTCTGATCGCGTGATGATACATGTACATCTGTTTCTCTCCTTGTCTATCTCTCCCTCCATCTCCCCTTACTCTACCCCTCGCTACCCTTCTACATATCTCTCCCTATCTGTTTCGCTCTGTTTCCCCTCTCTCTATTTCTCTATCTATCTCTCTTCTTACTTCCTATCCCTAGATCTCTATATCTGCATCTATATCTCCATTTCCCTTATATATTCCCCCCTCTCTCTCTCCATCTCTCTCTCCTCTCTCGCTCACTCTCACTCTCTCCCCTCTCTCTTTCCCCTTTTTTTTACCTCCCTCTCTCTCTCTCTTTCTCTCTCTCTCAATAACCATATCTGACCGCATCTATATTAGAATCTGTGTCTCCATTTCCCAATATATTCCCTCCTCTCTCTCCCCTCTCTGTCTCTCCCCTCTCCCGCCCTCACCATTCTCTTTTCCCTCTTTCGCCCTCTCTCCTCTCTCGCTCCCTCTCCCCAATCTCTCTCTCTCTCTCTCCCCATCTCTCTTT